AACTTTGTGTAAGGCGATCACAGCTATTCGGTTTTCTTCATCATTCCACTCCATGTTAACTGAGCGATAAAAAAGAATAAACTAATTAGAATTATTATCCTGACGTGTAAAGAAAATAACCTGATAGAGGTAAGGATGATCTAAATAGTACTCAAGAATGTAAACAAAGTTCAAATTTTGTAACAGTATTTATGGCAGAACTAGGTACATGCTCCACCTCATCTAAACCTCCATGCCATCATATCATGGAATATTGATTGACAAGTTTCTGTAAACAGTTTTTTATCGGTCTTTTGTCTCCTTGTGTTAGTACTCTGATCTCAGATCTCTCCGGTAATCGTGCGGAGGATTTTTTTCATAAATCATTATGAGACGAATGAGAACTTTATCTGTATTCACTGAAAAACACAAACAAAAAAGTAGTAAAAACTAATCATAATAAGACAAAAATAAATAGATAAAGTTGAATTTTTTTTTTTTTATTATTTTTGAATGATATTTACAACTGTATTAAATAAATACATCTTATAAATTTGAACATATGGATATAATGACGTTAAAACACTTCCTGAGTAACTACCCAATGGTAGCACTCTAATGATATGTCTACATTAGGAGATCACGGGGCCATCTTCTTTTCAGACGCCTCGGAGGGTTATCAGGAATTGAAGTGGAAGCAAGGTTAGAAACGAGAGGGTTGGGATGATTCTGAAGTTTATTATGGAAGGATAGGTATCTAGATTGGGCCAGATCTGAAACATTAAGGTCATTATGGATGGTTTTATTTGTAACAAAGATGGGAGCATTGGGAGGATTTTACGAAGGATTTTGGATTGTAAGGATTGGATACGAGAGGAATTCGATGGTTTTGTGGAGCCCCATAGCTCAACGCCGTAAGTCCAAATAGGTCTTATTATAGTCATGTATATGAATCTTTTGTAATTAATTGGAAGTTTAGAGCGTTTGTCTAGTAAGTACTCAAGTAATCGGAAACGTCGAGCGGTTTCTTGTCGTTTCAGTCTGGTATGATGAAAGCTTTAAAAAACAAATTATCTATAGTTTTTCAGTATTATTTTAGTTGTAGTACGCTTTGAAACCCATTGTTATATCACGGTAATTAGGTGTAAGCCAAATATTACCAAATGATATGTAAGTGAGTAGTGTTCGCTGGTGATAGTGAAAATTAGTGTGGACTGTATGAGGTTGCATCACTGAAATTTTATGATTGACTAAATTGAACAACATATTGAGAGCATGGTTATATTGCATAAAATTGAATAAAATAAATGTAATTTGTGCTTTTGTACAATATTTTGGTTCTTTACAGATTAAGTATATATTGCTTGATTGTCGATTTGGACTCACATTCTGTCTGATATTGAGCTTCATGGTTTTGGCCACCTCTTCTTCCTCCCCATACTTCCTCCACCAGGCTGTTCTCTTAGAGTTTAGCAACTCATATTGTCTTTTCTTGCCATTTCTTAAGAGAGTACCTTAATGTGGGCACACTTCACCAAATGAACAGATTAACTCTACAGAGATGGTTTGCAGCAAGATGGTGGCCATAAAATAGTGGTGAAGTTCTGACTTGAACAATTGTTATTTATTTTGTTTCAGAGGTTGATCCGTGAACACCCATTCTTGATTTCCGCGTCGAAATCTTTAAAACACGATCTATCCCAACTTTCTCAATGACTGCCTTGATTCGTAAAGATAACTTTTAAAATATAAAATATCGATTTTTAGGATCAAATATCGATGTACTAATAACGACGGCCATTATGATTCACGAAGATAAGAGAGCAGACAGGCTGGCCCGCCCGGGGCAGGAGTTGTGCAAGGGCACAACTTGGAGGAGGGTGGTGCAAGGCCTAAATACCATTCCGCCTCCATCAGCCTTGCCCCCTTTGCGTTTCCAATGTTTATAGATCAAATCGTTAATGACGCCATGATTGCACGAAGGAAATGTCTGTCTGCAAAAAAAAAAAAATTTAGTTTTCTGATAGTCGTATCTACTACACAGATACTTTCTTATCCATTGATTGATATTACATCAGATATCCCGGCAGTGGAGTTCATACCACCCTTCAAATCTCCATCCCAAAAATCAAGAAAAAAAATCTGGTGAGTCGAAAGGCTAAAAATGTGTTTTTTGGAAACGTATAGATTTGTTGAAAACCGCATATCGGAAATTTGACCCGATTGCAATACTTTCCTTACTTAGTATAGGTAGAAAAGTAATAAGTTAAAAAATATAATAAGTTGTATCATCGCTAATACTGGTTCGATTCCGATGATTTTTTTTTCTTGTTAATTTAATTACCATTCAAAGTTTTGTTATAAATTTTACCGTATAGTATATACGTAGGGAGTTAGGCCCCATAACATTTTTCTTTTCTTTATAACTTTTTTTCTTGATTTATTCCGGGAATGTAGTCTATATACGAAAATTGAAAGAACAATTATTAGAACATTATAGCTAAGTAATGCAGATAATGGCAACACATATGGTGATAATGGCATATGCCAGATGTTGAGACATACTATTGTAAATTGTTCCTCCTGGATTTGTTCTAATAGTACCACGGATTATATTTAGTAAAACAATTTTATGAAACATTTTGATTTTAAAACAACACCCTTCTCCCCAAAAAATCCTAGAAAATCGTATGTGTCCATGGTGAAATTTGAGGGCAGACTAAACAATGTGCAATTCATTAGGATGATATTAAATATTATTAAAAAAAGAAAGGATTAATAAAGGCTCATTATTATCTGTAAACATAATCGTAGTAAACACCAAAAAATACACTAATCTCACTTTGAATTTCTGAAATAATAAAAGCAGCCATTTTATATGAAATGATCTAATATAAACAAGCTCACTGTTATCATTTTAATCACGTAGTATTTCTTTTTCTAAAATAAATTCCTGTTTATCCACGTTTGCACATTACCCAAGCCATGGTGTCAGAGATGCTCAAATGCTCAGTGCCGAGTACCAAGTATTTTACTCAAATTGAATCTATCTATCTATCTATCTATCTATCTGTATATCTACCTATCTATCTGTCTATCTATCTTAATGGCTCTACAACCCTTAGTGTTTACTGACCTCCTCAATGAACTTCCGCCAAATTTCTCTATTCTGTGCAGACACTTTCCAATTCCCGACTCCCATCAAGTCACCAGGCTTCACCTGCCACACCATCTGGCCATCTCAATTTCGGTCTGCCAGCTCTTCTTGTATAGTGTAATGGTTCTTCGAGCACTCTTGTCGAGATTTCAAACCTCTCCATCCGAGCTATGTGTCCTGCCCAACTTAACCTTCCTAATTGTATTATTCTTGCCATATCAGTTTCATTAAACGATTCATAGATCTCTCTATTCTTCCGAATACTCCAGTCCAGTCCATCCTTTACAGGGCCAAATATTCTTCTAAGGAATTCCCTATCAAAGAACAGAAGGTCTTTTTCGTTCTTTTTGGCTAAGGTCCTTGTTTGGCTACCGTTGGTAAGAACTGGCCGGATAAGCGTTTTATAAAGCTGCAGCATCGTTCGCCTACTAAGTAGTGAGGTTCTAATGTACTTAAGTAGGCCAAAATATTCTCCGCTTTATTTCAAGTGTCGACTCATTTTTTGTCGTAATTTGAGACCCCAAATCATTTTCGGACATTCTCAAATGTGTAAGAGCCTAGAGATATTCTTTGGTTTTGGGAGATTCTCTCCTTCTCGTCTATACATATATTATGTTTTATTCTCATTAATGTGGAACCCTGCAGCTTTTTGCAATCACTGTATCACTATTTAAGTTTTTACTCTTAAATTCCCTTAAGCGTGCCAGCTACATTTACTCTATATTTATAATTGAACTATGATATTATTATAGAATAAATGTTCTGAGAATGTGAGGTTCATTAATTCTCACCTCTACATTGTAGAGTAACGTACCAACCAAAATACTTACATCAAGGATGACTGGAGTCCTGTTCCATTAAGTTTCATAAAAGTTTACCTTTTCCACACTAAAACACTTAAATAGCCACCGACACCACTTTCCTTTTGAAATCCGTAGACTCCTGGTCACCTCCTTAATATCTTCCCAATTCGAATATTGCTGCACGGTATATGGGGGCGTCACTGGGGATTTCGAAGTGAAACTAAAACGTTTGATAAATTCCTTTAACGATTCATCTTCGGGATCCCAAGGGACGCTTCTGTTTCCTGTTTCTATGAAGAGTTGAAGTGTCATTATCCTTCCTACCGCCGAAGTATTTCCTGGCATCCTTCCTCTTCCAAGTCATTCACTTCATACATCTCCGAGATCCTTCAATTTAAATCTTTAAATCTGTCCACTCCCGCAATACCCGTTCCCAGTCTTCAGATTTATATATAATGGCCCACCGAACCGCTGCTTTCGATAAATCTTTTATTATTCGATCCCTATGGAACTCCTTGAAATACTCTTCCTTCTTTTAAATCCCGCCTATTCAATCACTTTCTTTCCATTCAGTCCCTCTAAAATTGTAAATAGAAACTGCTGTAAATATGTATATATATTATTAGTTTATTTTCAATTATTTTCATGTCATTGTTCTTTCATTTATTTACTTTTTTCTTAATCGATTTAATCTAGAACTTTTTTTTTCTTTATTCTCTATTATATCTATTAGTTAACTTTATATATACGTCTTTAGTATATATATCTGAGGCTCAAAAACCCACATTTTTGTCCTTGTTAATTATTCTAAAGGGATTCGTCCCAGAATAAATTAAAGATTAAAAAGTATTCCTTTCTGACGGAATGTTTCCTTCAACTTGTCTAACCATTGTGGACAATGCTTTGAAAACTAAGAAATAACATAATAATTCAAACTACATTTATTTATATCTTGGTTGATATTTGAAGACTTGACAATCTCTTGAAAGTATAACTACTGTTTATTATTTAGAATAGGATTTGAAAGTCGACCATTTTATTAATGTTGTTCTGTGTTGCAGTTGATCGCACTCGCCACCCTCGTGGCCGCCGCCAGCGCTGGCTATGCTCCAGCAGTCTTGGCCCCAGGCGCTCCACTCGCCGCAAGGGCTTACGCCGCACCAGCTTATGCCGCACCAGCCTACGCCGCACACGCCTATGCCCCAGCTCCATACGCCTACGCCGCAAAGGTCGCCGCTCCAGTAGCAGTCGCTGCCCCACTCGCCGCAAAGGCCGCAGTTGTCGACGAATACGACCCCCACCCACAGTACTCCTACGCCTACGACATCCAGGACGCCCTCACCGGAGACTCCAAATCCCAGCACGAAGATCGTGATGGCGATGTTGTCCATGGCAGCTACTCTCTGACTGAACCCGATGGCACCAGGAGGACCGTCGACTACACCGCTGACCCAGTGAACGGATTCAACGCCGTCGTCCACAAGGAACCCCTTGTCGCCAAGGCTGTCGTTGCCGCCAAAGTCGCCGCCCCATTGGCCTATGCTGCCCCAGTCGCTAAGGTCGCTGCTCCTCTTGCCTACGCCGCCCCAGTCGCCAAATACGCTGCCCCATACTACGGTTAAACGAGACCATTCTCAATCTATATACCATGTATATAAACATATTTATTTAAATTATAAATAAAACTTCAAGCACTATAACTTGTCTTTTTCTTTTATATTATCCTAATAAATCGGGAATATTTTACATAATCATGATCATAATTCGGGTGAATGATAGTCAGTACTCATTGAGAACTTCAACACTTTCGGTGCTGGTGACATGCATAAAAATTAACTTCATCCTGACTATTTATCACTCATGATATGTATAACTTCCTCCCATTACCATAAAAGAATCAGAAGAGTCAATATATGAGGTATGACGATTAAATACGAAAACTGACGCTGTAATACATTTTATTTTTATTGCTTACACATTTATTTATTACCACGTTCTATATACCCCTTCACTACAGGGGTGCCAATCTCCTCAAGGTCGATGGCGCAAAAACCTACTCCCCCTCTCCCTCCAAGATATTTTATTGCTCACTTTACTATTTTACTAACATCAAAATAGGCTAAGGTAGAATTAGAAGAATCGCAGATCATATACAATTACACTTGCTGCAGTCTGTTTCATGTTCTTCCCTTAAAACTGAGATTCATAACCCTCTCGAAATGTGCCCCCCTCCAAAATTTAAAAACCCGTCAAAATATACTCTTCTCAAAATTTTTGATGGAGCGACTTCCACCATGAATCCACTACTTCCATCATCTCTCCGTTGCAACACACTGTAACATCTTCCTGAACCCCTCCAACCTGTAAGATCTTGCTCTTTCTTGTAGTGATGATCATATCCTTCCTGCGGAGCTCTTCGTTCCATTCGTCAACTGCCTGCCGTAGTTTCTCCACGAAATCAGCAATTAGGACAATATCGTCCGCATATAGAAGAAACTGAATTACAACTGGAAGCAGATTCCTTCGCCCCTTTTGAAGATTGCAGCTATTTCATCCATATATAATGTGAATAGCAATGGGCTTAACCTATCACCTTGTTTGACCCCCCCCTAGCTATGCTAAAATGGCCAGATTCCTGTCCATTCAGTCTGACTATTCTTTTTGGATTCCATTCGATAACCTGGAAATATTATTATCAAAAAATAAAAAAATAAGATTACACAATCTTAAAGTAGATAGGATTTTATAAAGCTAAGCTTTCGACAACCTGAAATGATTATAACAAAAAAAGTGAAATAAGTCGACTGCACAATCTTAAAATCGATAATATTTTCTGAAGTTAAGCCTTTGATAACCTGGAAAGGTTATACTCAAAGTATTAAAAAAGTTTAAATAATTGTAACACAATATTTTTTTTATTCATGAAATTTACAGCTGTATACAAATAAATATACATTCAGTAGATGTGATAGAGAGATGGCATGGCATGTAGTCTTGTAGTATGTATAAGTCTTGTAGAGAATCTATCCATTGGTAGCACTCTAATAAAGTATCGAAATTAGGAGATCAAGGGCCCATCTTCTTTTCAGGCGTCTATAGGGGTTTTCAGGACGCCAGAAAAAACAAGGTTAGAAACAAGAGGATTAGGATGGCTCTGAAGTTCATTATGGAAGGGTAGGTATCTGGGATTAGGCCAAATCGGAAACATATGGAATATGGACAAGCTCCATGGATTTGGAAAAGATGCCGATCCTTTATGCCCTAGCTGTGGGATCCCAGAGACTGCTGAGCACATTATCATAAACTGCACCGACTTTGATTCGCTAAGGGCCAAATTGGTGAGGGAGACCAGTCTCTATGTTCTGACTGAGACCGATTTTCTTCAACTAGTTAGGGAAGAAAACTACCCGTACTTCAAAGAATTTATGTACGGGTGGAAAGAAGCAATTGTACCCGCACATTTCAACCTCACAAGAAGAGGACCTGCCCCATGGAGGCTGCCAGAACAAGGAGGAGCTTAATAAGGCCATGAATAGCAAATTTAAATATGGACATTGGTCTCGTTGCAGAAGCAGACAGTTATGCAGTGACGTGTAACAATTCAGTTCTGCAAAACCGTATTGCCTCAATGGCACGGTAAGGTTCAAATAAATAAATAAAAAACATATGGAATATTCAGGTCGTTCTTGATTATTTTATTTACAACACAGTAAGAAGGATAAAGAAATTTACGAAGGATTTTGGATTATAAATATTAGATAAGAGATGAATTGGATGGTTTAGTGGGATCCCAAAGTTCAACTCCATGTGTCCAAATATGTCTTATTACATGCAGGTAAATGTATCTTCTGTAATTAATTGAAAGCTTAAAGCGTTTGTCTAGTAAGTGCTGGAGTAGTCGGAAAAGTTGAGCGGTTTCTTGCCTTATGAAAAGTAAGGTTCTGATGAAATTAGAAGAATTTTGCTAGGATAAGGTCTAGGACAAATGACAAATATTACAAGGTCATCAATAGTAAACAGTTTTTTATTTATTTTTATTATTTCTTAATGATATTTACAACTGTATCAAATAAATACATCTAGTATATTTGAACATATGGATATAATTACATGAAAACACTTGCTGAGTAACTACCCAATGGTAGGACTCTAATGACATGTCTACATTAGGAGATCACCCGGCCATCTTCTTTTCAGATGCCTCGGAGGGTTATCAGGAATTGAAGAGGAAGCAAGGTTAGAAATGAGAGGGTTGGGATGATTCTGAACTTCATTATGGAAGGATAGGTAGCTAGATTGGGACAGATCTGAAACAAAAGAAATATTAAAGTCATTATGGATGGTTTTATTTGCAACAAAGTAGGGAGCATTGAGGATTTTACGAAGGATTTTGGATTGTAAGGATTGGATAGGAGAGGAATTCGATGGTTTAATGGAGCCCCAAAGCTCAATTCCGTAAGTCCAAATAGGCCTTATTATAGTCAAGTATATGAGTCTTTTGTAATTAATTGGAAGTTTAGATCATTTGTCTAGTAAGTGCTGAAGTAGTTGGAAAAGTCGAGCGGTTTCTTGCCGCTTCAGGCTGGTATGATGATTCCAAGTTAAGCGTTTGCCCAGGTGGAGTTATGGGTATTGGATTTGTGTAACAGGGTTATGTGTGGTATTGTTAAAGGATACTGTGGGATAGGAAGTCATAGGTTTACGACGAAGGGTAAAGGTTGACTTGCATTTGATGGGATTTATTGAAATTTCTATAAACTTTGTTAAGGATAAGACCTAGGATACTATCTGGAGGAACACCAACAGACTGGGAAAAGAGGAATGTATAGGCATTGTACTTGATGTATAGGATTTCCTTTACCATATATATTAGTAAGGTAGTAATGAATAATGAGAAAGTATATAGGTATTACACAATCTTAAGGGGACCCTACACGGTTAATCGGAATTGCACTAATGATGTTCCAAATTGTCGTGTAAGGTAGTGAATGGAGTACTGATGGTGGTGCGCTGCGGATTTCCGAACATCCGGAAATCAAAGGTTCATTCACGAGAAGTGGAGGGGAGACTGAGGTAAAAGTAGTGGGGAGACTAACCATACTGCTGGATAGGTTAGGTTACCTAGGCCTCACAACCATTATAAATTTCTGATTTTCATTATATGTAAATAGTTAAATAATTTTTCATATCCCTTGTTTATAATTTTAAACCATCTTCAACTATTTCTTTTAAATAACAACAAATTAAAAAAAAATGAGGAAACTTCACAATTTACTTTAGGAAAAAAAAAAACTTTATCGTTGTGTATATTTATCAGTTCTTTTCCCATTTTCCTCAACAAATTTATTATTTTCGCAATACCTTTCCTTAATTTTTGTAAGTAGTAGACTTATATTTTACTAACTTTTGTCAAAACGATTTTCTATGAGACTAACCTTCTATGAGACAACTACTAGATAGGTTAGTTTACCTAGGTCTCGTTATTAAGTAAATAGTTGTTTATATCCCTAGTCTATATTATTATTAACCATTTTCAACTATTTTTTCTTTAAATAGTCAAGTAGACAATAAATTGAAGAGAAAAAAAAGTGGAAACTTCACAATTTACTTATAAAAAAAAAAATCTTAAACTGTTGTGTTTATTTGCCATTAATTTTACAATTTTTCTTAACAAATTGATTATTTTCGCAATACTTTTCCTAGATTTTTGTATGTAGTTGGCTTATATTTTTCTAACTTTGGTCTAAACGATTTTCAGGCACTAGGAAGTAATTATTATATCTCCGTTTTTCTCTTGATGCCCAATATTATAAATGACAATGTCCAAATAAGCATATCTATGCTGTTTCTTTGTTTACAACTGAGCTAAATTGGTATCAGCAACGATAAGTAATGATCAGTAATGATTGAACGTGTAAGGGTCTTCATGATCCAAGCGATCGCGGGCAATCTTGGAACTTCTTGTGACGTTCATTCATGAATTACCGTGTAGGGTCTGCTTTAAAATCGATTGTATTTTCTAAAGCTGAGCTAGTAATAATCAGAAAAGGTTATCGAAAAATTTAAAAAGTTTAAATAAGTCGACTGTACAATCTTAAAATCTAAATCATTTTCTAAAGCCTTCGAAAACCTGTAAAGGTTATTATCGAAGATGTTAGGAAAGAATAAATAATTAATCTGAATGATGACAGCCAAATAATGGAATATGTATGTATCAGGTATACATGCTTCCCAAGAAATAGTATATAGAAGGATTGCCATAATTTAGTTTTAAAAGAACTATATTTTGATGTTTATTGTTATTTGAATTTAATTGATATTCATTTATTAATTTAATGTGGTAACGTTCCATTTTTGAAAATATTTGTTGATAAATATTTTGTAGGTGAAGATAATTAAGAAGAAGCCATTCACGATATTTTAGATGAATGTTAATAATTTGATACAAAAAGGATACTGTACTCTGCACTATAGTTACCAAGTGCAATTGTCGACGGAGAAAACCCACGACGGAATAAAATGCATGATCTGTTTAAAACCAAATGTCACTGTGTAGTCATACACAACGTGTGTGGGAAGATGTGTGCGATAGTGTGGGTGTGCTTGTACGCGAATATAATCGCGTCATTTTATCTTGCTCTTATTCAATTATGTAACTGGGATAATGATAGTCTTCGAAATATAACATTCGAGAAGAACG